ATCTCGAGATACTAATAACAATAAAAAATTTATGTTGATAATAAGATAATTAATCAGGTTGTTAATGAATTTTTACTTATTTTACCTCCAGTACCTCAGAAACTAACTGTCGGCTCAACTTGAGATTCGTTACGATTGATGTCTCAGCATAAAATGTTTGGTAGAAAATTCAGTTCGAAAATCATGGAACCACAAACGAGCGAGAAATCCCCTCATTTTTGGGGTCACTCTTTGATTCTCTCGCGTGTACAATATCGAAGTACTTACAACGAACGAGACGATGTAAATTCTTCTTCGATTAATTGTAAGTATATAATACGATAGAACGATTGATAATCTTAAAAGAACGGCGATTCTAAATTAGACGAATACATAAATACATTCAATAATCTTTCCACGAACAAATCCGAAGCAGACGAATTTTCGTTTAAATCAAGACTTATCTTAAGTATGAGTATTCCTACATTTATCACGTATCGAGTTTCCCACCCGGAACGTGTGACACTTCAAGGGATTCTCTCACGAGAAAATGGCACTTGCTTGAATGACGCGCAACAGAATGGACGAAAAAAATCGCTGGTTAATTTCTCGTCCGTACACGAGTTCGTTTTCTCATACAAATGTTTCGTATGTACGTCGAGTTTTTCCGCGGTGTGTTTAGGACCGTTTCGTTAAAAGGAAACGTCTGCGAAGGGACACAAAGGAACCGGATATGCTGTCTTTTTCTTCGTTTTTCATTTTTTTTTTTCTTTTTTTTCTTTAACAGGTGATACTTTCGCGGAGTTCCGTGCGACGACGCATTTCTATATAGAAATTCCGTTCGAAGATTCTCTCGTAATTCCATTCACACCTCTCGCAAACACCCACGCGCACAACGGCTGCGAATGTAATGTGTTATTTCAGTTTCGGCGTAATGCTTGAACAAGCTGAACATTAAAGACGCGTCTACACGAAGAAATAGTCTCGCTATTTACTTTTTTTCTCGTTTTTTTTTTTTAAGTTAGTCCTTATCTAACGAACAAACAGTGTTTTAGTTAGAGTTTATGTATATATAAATATGTAATAATTATTATAATAATGTATAGACTGATATCAACACGTATAACATCGAATTCCCTATTAATCCTTAATTCTTGGTATTTTTTTTCCTCGTTCCCCCGCTTCCGTCGGAGGAAAAATTGTGGTAGCTGTATGTATGCGTCCTTAAGTATAAGTCTCGTTTCGCTAATGGCGGCCGACGCGACCGGAAGCGCGATCTAATATCAGCTAGCAATCCGATCGCTCTCGATCGTCGTATTCCCCATTGTGTTTCGGCGTTTCGGTTTCTATACGACTCTCCCACAATTGTCACGATTATTTTTCGGTCCAGAGGAAAACGAAATTTCGAGGGATTTCTTTCCTCACCCTCTTCTCTGTGTTTCCGGTACCCTCGACACGTGGTCTATTTTCTTTGATTCTCATTGCTTATCTCTGCTCGCTCCGTTTAATAGACACACGCGCTAGCTTTTTTTTTTTTTTTATTGTAATCTGTAATTACTTGTACACACATAGCTAAGCTCTGACTAACTCTCGTGGGGAATGAAACGTTGTTCGTAATTCTTGCCCTTTTTGTCCGTCGCTTTTAATAGTCGGCTGCAGTTCGACCTTTCGCGATCATACACACGGATACAAAATCGTATAATCTCGAGCGACGATCAATCGCCACGAGGGTGTTGAATTAACACTAGAATTATCAGCGTTGAATGTATATCAAATGAAATTTCATAATATATTAATATTTATTCTATATGATGTATGTATGTGTAAGATTTATTCTATGCGATGTGTAGCATAATATAGTGTAATTTAGAATGTATAATGAATTAAAGGTCGACATGAATATCGACGAAAGCACTTTTATGATTTCAGTGTGATTAGTAAAAAATAACAAAATTGATTTCCGTAATTTGGACGGGTTTGGTAGTTCTAGTGTTAATTGTTCATTTTTCTGGTCGTTCAGGTTGTACAGTCGATACATCGCGATCAGGAAAGGTTAAACTGATTCGACGTCGAAATAAAACCTCGAACCCGGCTGTGATCTCTATGGCGACTCGATTGTGACGCGGTGCGTTGGCGTTGATGTCCCTATATATATATGTATTTATAGATATATTATACGTAGTACTGTACAGTCGATGAGAAAAAGGAATTTCTGAAAGAGTATTTTACGGTGTTACGTGTAAAGGTCTGCCCGAGCGAATCGTGTGAAAGGAAAAGTCGCTTCCGAGTAATGCTTCCCTTTAACATTTGTCCATCGTATTCTCGTCGATCGCGATTTTCTCAATGACACACGTTCGATCCTTTTTAATCATTTCTTCCCGTCGAAAACATTCGATAAACTTTGAATTTCAATAATAATTACAGACAACGATATGTTCGCGATCGTAATAATGTTATTCGAAAGTCAATTGGATCGTTTCGTAACGTATAAATCTATTAAGGATTTTCAACAGTGTATAAGTATCGTGTCCATTTATAAAATTCATATCATTATATATATATACTTCTGGTAAAATATTTAAGCAACGATAAAGATACCAGCTCGATAAAATTCTCGGATCGAACGTAAGAAATCGCATTAAAAAAAAAAAAAGGTAAAAACGGAAGCGTTCCTCTCGTGCTTCCGGTTCTTCTTCGAGCACGATTCTATCTCGAGCGGACCAGCGCGCGTAACGTCGGAATGTGATCAAGTCACTAATGGATAAAGCTTCCCGCTTCCTCTAATCGTACAAAAACTCATGTCACAAGCTCGTTTTGGCCTGCAATTGCGACGTGGCAGTATTTATCAGTAAGTAGACAGTGTAGTACGATATGATACAGAAGAGCAAGTGTAACCGGAAGTCATCTCTTCGGTCGTGAATCGTGCGTCGAGAGGCCATGCGAATCCAACGTTTATCGCGGAGGAACCAGTACACGCGTACACTTTTCCAAATACAGTAAATCATCGATAAGTGTTCGAAGAAGTTTCGACATTGACAAGAAAAGATCCCTAGATGTATCGTTAATTTTCTAACGAGGTTTAGCACAGCGATAGAGCTTGGAATTCTGAAGCCAATGATGTTTATATCAACCGTATACGGCCATTAGTTTACGAAATATTTAATATACAATACCGAGGTGCCTTCAAACACTCATCGATGATTCACTGTACCTTCGATTTTACCGAATGTACGTCGAAACGACGCAATAAATCGATTCTTCGATCGATCCCCTTCGGCCAGTCCGTCTCGACGACGCGATTCGTCGATCGAACGGAAACGACGCTCACACGCATCCACACTCGACACACACTCGCACACAGAACTATAGCGCATCCGTTGTCAAATGAAACCGAAGATACCACGATTAGGCGAGACGTGTTTCGTATGATAGTTTATGGCCTGAATATCGACGGCGTTGGACTGAACTAGACGCGGGACACATTTACACCTGCCTTTCAGCTAAGAACCATCAGCAATAAAACGGACACGATCCTCGTATTACGAACTCCATACTTGTGTCTCGATGTCGCGCGATTCACGCAAAATCTCATGCACGTACAGTGAGAATCAAAAGTGAGCATACACTTTGAAAGTATCGGTTTCATTCATATTTATTACTCTGAATTTAGAATCTAATATTTTGCATAGATGCTTTATTAGATGGTGATCTGGTAACTGTGAAGGAGGGCTTAAATGATTAAACGTGTTTTACAGCAAACAATTTTTAACCACCTTTGCTGCATATTTTGGGTCACGATATCACTAAAGGACCCACGAATGCACTTGCAACTGAATTTGATTTTAACAAATTTAAACATCCAAATTTGTCCATAGTGACTGACCCACACCAGAGGTCGCAATGCTGCCCCAAACTATAAGAGTACAATTCACCATGTTCAACGATATTTACAAAACTTTGAAGTTATACCTTCGAATATCTTTTTCTCGGACTTTTTGGCATTCATTCCGAAAATGTTAAGAAAATCATATCCAACTGTATTACTGATATAATCTTACTTCGCAGGGTCTATACTCAGTTTCGACTCTCACTGTTTATTATATACTTATGTTCCTTGGTTAACGGGAAAACGGGAAATTGAACAACCATAGAAAAACGCCACCCCTCTCTCCATCGGCCGATATTGTAATCGAAGAAAGTTCCCCGAAATCTCTAGCTCTGCGCCTCCACACGTTCGTTCCTCGTTAAGTTTCTCTAAATTACATTGGTACGGTTGATTAAATCATTTGGTACGATCGATGGCGTCCCCGAAAAACTCGCAAAACTCCGCCACGCGATCCTCATCAGCTAATGTCTTTTTTTTTTAATCATCTTCGTCCTCTCACGAGGCCGAACTACCTCTTAGTCCTGCGTCGACGCGATAACAATCTCGAATCAGTAGAATCCTCAACACGTTTTATCGAACACCTCGCTCCGTACACGCGGCTGATCGTGATTAGACGCTGAGACCGCGTTAAATCGTACGTGTTTCGGTTAAGCTTCGACCGTTTAAAAGCCCGACTTGTCCGTTTGGCTCTTGTCCGATCGAGAAACGCCATCCTTGGAGATCCGCCCCAAGAGCCTCGGACCCGTTGCCCCGCTTTTTCGTTCAGGATCGTCCCCGATCGGTCGATTCTCTCGACCGTTTCTCTCGTAGCAAGGGAACACATTTCGAACTTTTCTCTTTTTCTTTTAGAGGGTAGAAGGAAGGTGGGGGGGGTTGAAACCCTCGAACACAGTTCGCGCAGCGTCGTCTCGGTGAATACGGATCTCTGGTTGGGATCCGGGACTAGTCCAGTTCTCGGAGGATCAGACGACCACCCTGTAGATCGTACATGACGATCATTCGAGAGTTCAAGTCTGATTCCCACATACACACACACACATACACGCAGCCGGACCTTTCCTAGACGAGCACGATCGGAGACGGTCCCGAATTAAATTCCTAGGTGCATCTATGACAGACTCTAGGGTGTAGGTCCTTAAAGCAGCCACTTGGCCACTAGGATCATGATCAGATGCGGTGCCAGACTGATCACAGACGCGGCTCCCCTCACCCTCACGTCGCTGTCCTTTAGGAGCACCTCGTCGATCACGTGGATGATACCGTTGGTGCACTCCACGTCCGGACGGAACACCTGGATCCACTTGCCGCCCCAACCGATCTCGTAACCTGCAAAAGAGGAACAGTGGACACGATCAGTGTGGATCGAGAAGCTGTTGCGATGTGGATCATCCGAACGACCGATGGACGAGGACGTAACGAAGCGATTTTTGCGATGTTGCCAGCGACAGACGGGTTACCGGTGTGTGAGCGGTTATTTGTCGAGCATGGGAGCCAGATGGCGCTAGTTAGAAGGTTCGAGTAATGTTCTTTGTCTACGGTACGCAATGACGCAAAATGCATATGGCGATATAGTCGAATGATTTTCGATCGAATGAGATGTTATCCGGTTTTGCCTCGAGTTTTATTGTCCCTCGACGTTGGATTCGTCGATATAGGTGAGAGAAATTGAACGTTCTATGAAATGATTTATGGAATTTGCGTCTATTATGGGTAAATTTAACGTATCGTTGAGTGATGGAGGAATTCGGTAAAGCTGCGTCTACACTATGTAGCAGAACAGTGTTATATAAGAAATTGTTGTATAACTTTGTTGTACAGCATGTTTTTATAACTTTTATAAAGTTACATCTTTTGGATAATTCTGTAACAAATTTGTTTACCATTTCGCATTTCAGTATTAATAATGGTGTAATACTTGATGGGTAACATACAACTACTTGCTATAATAACATGGAAAATGTTATGTTACATCATGTTGTATAAAATTTTTCTTTCTGTTTTTCTAACAAGTATTATAACTTTGCTATATAACTTGTTATACTATATAGTGTAGACACGGCTTAAGAAGGAAATATTAGTGAAATTCTTTTATGAATACTGGTGACTTCAGCAAGATTCTTCGAAGTATATACATATTAAGCTGCATCATATGGATAACTGACAGTCAATGTAATATTTTTAATTATAATTAATCACGATAGCGTATAGTTCGATCGTATCAATATTCTATTCACCGCAATACAGTGTCCTCGTTTCGTTCTACACAGACCGCAATTCCACATGGTGCAACCTAACAGTTACATAAAAGCCTGTAAAATATGACTGAGAAGAAAGCAGCATATATTAATCGTATCTTAATTACACGTAACAAGATAAAGCATATAATTAGAAAGGGCGAACAGAAAGAGAAGAAGAGACGCGTGTATAAAGGGAATAAGTGGTTAAACAAAGTGCAAACAAGGTAATCGTACGAAATAAAGCCCATTCGTTACACTCCCAATTCGTGTTACCCCTTTTCCAGATATACAATTCAGGCACACAGCGCGGGTATAATTCCCGTTGTAACTCTTATCTTTTCATTTCCACGTTCTCTTATACCTTAATTACCTTATCACATTTTCATTCATCCCTTTTCTAACCACGAACATCTATTATTTTTATTTCTACCGCGTGCAATCGCCTTTCCCGATTACATTTTAAAAACAGAAAATTTACCGGTACCCGTTCAATGTTCCTTTTATACCGCCAACGTTTTCGTTCGTCTTGCCCCCCTCCCCCTCTGTCACAGTTTTCTTTTCATAGTTTAAAAAATCGACACACTACCGAGGCGTTTGCAAACGGGAAAACGCTTTGGCGATTCGCAATTTGCGGCCGAGCGAATGACCGCATGAGCACGTAGCAATTACCACCGGGGGTAATCAACGAATTTGCATTTAAATGGCGGCCGAAAGGCGCATAATAAATCGTCTTGCGGCACCGGACCATAATTGTGCACGTTCTTCCTGGGTGCTCCGCCTAACCCCGGAGTGTCCGGAAGCCGCGAAATTGCTGCGTCCCCGAGAACCGAACGTTGTTTCAACGAATTTTTTCTCCCCCAGTTTTCATGTACAAACTACCCTCTCGTAATTTCGAAAAGAACGAAAACATTTGGGCAGCGTGGAATTGTTCGCGATTGTTTCAATTATTACTGTAATTCTATTCTTGGAAGAGAAATTTGGTATTTTACACCATGTACGATTTCTATCTGTAAGTACGTCTGTAGATTTTCAAATGCAAGATATTCCCAAATTTTTATTCACACCCCGTATATTAGGTGTACCAATATTCTTGGAAGAGAAATTTGGTATTTTACACCATGTACGATTTCTATCTGTAAGTACGTTTGTAGATTTTCAAATGCAAGATATTCCCAAATTTTTATTCACACCCCGTATATTAGGTGTACCACTAGGTAATCCGATAATTTCTTTTTAAATTCTACATATTCAAATACTCATCTTACTTCAATAATATTCGGTATTTCTTCTCATTACTCTCCGCCATTTTGATTAAACAGAAGATTGGAAAGATCCACTATATTGAAACTAGAGTCAAGTACTTATTGGTACAACAAATACATTGATCTATTATTGAAGCCTTTGTATTAGTGCCTGTTGATGATAAGAGAAAAGAAATTTGACTCTTGATACTCTGGAAACTTTTCTCAACACTGCAATGTAATACAACATTTTTTTTACAAGAAAATGCATGTTACTATTGGACGTTGATACTGCAAGTTGAGGACAATTTACAGACATCTGGTGTTGATTCGATTCGCTCATTTATTCTTGCAAAAGGAGATAGAGCCCAACGTATTTTCACGCAGACGTGTTTTGCATCCATACAGATCCGAAAGTTTTCCCTGTTCCGTCGTATTTTCTCCCAGGAAATGGACATAATACAAATTTACGCGCGTACCGATCTCCCATTTGTTTAGATAACACGATGAATGCCTTGTAGATTACGAGAACCCACAATTTATTGCAACTCCTATACTTTTTTGATTACTTTTTCACAGTTGTTTTCAGTCACCACAGTTACCACGATCGAATCGCGTATTTAACAATAGAACTACCAACGTTGAATGTTATACTAAATTAAACTGTATAATATAGTAATATATAGATAACATATAGTACCATTTAGCATAATATAGTGCAACATAAATATATAATAAATTAAAAGCCAACAAAAATTCCGCCAAAAGCACTATTATAATTTCATTAATCATGAAATATCAAATCTGTCATTTTGACAGGTTTGGTAGCTCTAGTATTAAACGACACTATTCTCGGATTATTTTTTATGATATACAATAAACAATTTTCTGTCATTTCTGATTGATTTGTTAATCTTTCTGTCTTATTAAATATTTTTGCAATCGATAGACCAAGAGAAATATTCAACTTTCTTAAACTCAGGCCTTGCATCCACTAATTTTAAGAAAAGTGACCATTTTTTATGCAATTACAAATAATCACGCAATAGCGTCAGCAGTAACAATGAGGTCTTTGGAAAATTAATTTACAAATATTCACGTTAAGTATACGCAACAAAAATGCGAACCACGAACTCGTATATGTACAATTGTAAGGGGTACATGTACACGAATTGTCTTTTTTGTTTTACCACGAATGATGATCTCAAGATCATCGACGACGACGATGAGCACGACTACTCGCCCGTATTTGTTTCGTGCTTCAGCAGAAGACTAACACAATTCTGTGCTCGTTCCAGCAAGCTCAATCGATTCAGTTAAAGCAGCGATAAGCGATGCGAAAACGTAAAAATACGTCGATCCTTTTCTCGCAAAATTGTAAAAGGATACTACTCACCGTGTGAATTGTTCGTATCATTGAGTGTACGATACACGTCGAAATCTGTAAAACTCAGTCACGTTAATTGTTACTAACAATACGGATGCAAGAGATCCGTTTGCTAATGAAAAGTTAATCTTTGCGTGTCTGGACAACAAATCGTGGACAGAAGACGGGCAGTGAACGGATAATTGAAGAAAGACGAGCTAGTTACGGTGGATTATGAAACATTATAAGATCGAACACAAAAGTAAATCGCCTGAGATGTTTCTGCTATTTACATCAATAAGGGGAGATATTATTCGCGATGAAGGTCCATAAGATAATTGCGATAAATTTCGTTTTATCGAGAATGTACAAACTTAGGTTATCATATATAGAGAAATAACTGTATATTCATTTTTTATGACGAACGATCACAAATCTAATTGATAAAAAAAGCACAGTGAAATTCTCTTTATTAAATTGAAAACAGATATGAAAGGAATCTATTGAAATTTGGAATTAATATTTCGTCATGGTCCTGTCCTTACTGTTTTTTTTTATCGAATCTACGACTTGTTTGTTTGATAGAAATAACAGAAAACTAAATATAATTTAGGAAATACAATTAGGTGTCAATAGTCAAACTGTTTTATGACTTTTATCATACGAATGGTAAATGAATCGAAAAGATCTGTTTGTTTGAAAATAAAAGAAAATTGCCCTTTGTTTCTAGCATATTTTAGTATTTCAAAGTTGCTAGCATATTTTAGTTGCTCCTTCGCTGTAAACAGTACAATAAACTGTACAAATATTGTACAATTACATTCATTGATACCGAATTTGTTAGGTTTCGTTCGAAATAATTAAACGTTCGACTGGTTTCGTCGCAACCAATGAAAGAAAGAAAAAGAGAAGCAACTAAAAAATAAACCAAAGTGTGAGCCGCATCTATTTTATTCCGATCAACGGTTCTCCTTTTCGCTCGGATGCAGATCGACGGAAAAAACCGTCGTTTACGTGCAGAGGCGTATACGTTCCAAGAAGCAACAATCGTGAAGCGAAGCGCGATCTACGTTCTCAGAGTAGAGGAAAGAAAAAAAAAAGAGAAAAGCATTCCTTTTAAGCCTGCATGAAACGCGTGTACTTGATCTGATGTAAACGCAGCTGTAACGAGGAAATGTGAAACGACGCGAACGAGGACACGTGATCAGATGAATTCTCATACAACGACCCCCCACGTAGATTGTTTGAAACTTCGTAGACATTTGCACCAAGCAAACTCTTAAGGATTCTAGATTTCTTCTGTTAAACGAAAGAAACGATTTATGTTTACGTAGAAATTTATTTATTTGAAGCTCTGCTCAGGGATGGGCACCTTTAAATGGATTTGTAATTGAATATTGCAATTTAAATAAAGTTGGACGTATACTCTCCAGTGTGTAAAAGTAAATTTTTGCGTAAAATTAATATCGCAGTATAATGTAAAACAAACCCGACAGCTTCTATTATCTAAAAGTGTGTCTGGCTACGTACGGCTCTTTTCACTGTGGCCATCAACCTGTCAATAATATAAATATGATTCTATTTGACCTCTGTTTCTATAAATGACTTCATATAAATCTGTATTTACTGGAATTTTATACATTGTAAATTTACACTTCCGCAGTCTATTTATTATACCACGATAAATGTTTTGAAGAATTCACAATACTAAAAAGAACCGCAATGGACGCCATTTTTAATTATAAAAATCACGGAAACATATTTAAATTCATTTTAAAACACATTGGAGCACATCCCTGTTTCGAGTTCCCACGTAAACACGTTTCTTTGCCAAGAAGTAATGAATTTTGACGAAGTTGAAGTGTCGAATCATTGTCAAAACAAGGAGCCTTGATAGTTCATCCGATACGTTTATCACCGCCGTGTAAACATCGAATTATTTTACCAAATTTCACCCAAAAGAAATCACACTGGTTTCCCAGGTTGTCCAGCGTTCTCCGCGATTCCTTGTCGATCGAGGATCCACGGAAAACGTATCTAAGTGTGTCTACGCTGGGCGTTGGCGACGCGGTGCGTGATAGTGCGCTGAGTAAACCGTTTTTTCTTTTTTTTTTTCGCAAAAACTGACACATCGTGCGTGCTCTTACAGATGGAAGCACGTGTCGTCGCTCATCGGCGACGTCTAAACACTGAACTGAACTCACCGAATGTTTCTGGATGGATCGCGTTTTCGTCGTACTTGTCATCTAAATCCAACCAAATAGCACCAGGTTTGAGAATGAACAGAGTGTTGTGGGGGAAACAGTGCTCGCGATAGGAGCGTTCAGGCTTGATATAGGTTTTACATCACGTAACAGTAACAAACAATTACTACTGTCGGACAGATTACGTTCAAACTGACAGAATTCGAGACAAACAGACACGTTGGAATGTGTATCTGACAATAATCCGGATATTGCAATAGTGTGCTATATTATTGCAGACATGATTGCCATGGAACTGGGCGGTTCTCGTACTTACTTTCGCTATGCTCCCGGACTCGAAGCTTCAGACTATCCCTGGCCGCTGGAAGGATGATGGTGCCGTTGTGCTTCATCTCCTTCAGCTTGGCCATGGTGAACGCCTCGTTCGCTATCACGAGATGTCGTTCGAGAATTTGTTTTGTCTGGAAACATACCAAAGTTGTCCATGAAATTTGATTTTGCTCCGTAATAGACACCGTTACAGTGAATCCTCGATGAGTGTTCGAAGACTCTTCGGCACTGAATATTAAATATTGCATAAACTAATAAAGATATGCGGTTGTAACAAATATTCTCGGCTTCAGAATTCTAAGCTCCAATTACTGTGCTAAACCTTATTAAAAAATTAACATTACATACGTGGAACTCTCCTTGTCAGCGCCGAGCAGCCTTCGAACACTCGTGGAGGATTTACTGTATTTATTAAGTCTAGCAAGGGAAGGACCCCAAATGTCCCACTTTGATTTTAATGGAGTTATGTAAGATGATAGTATATAGGTTCCTAATGATGTATATGAAATATTAGGTGTAGACTTTCGACAATTTTAAAGATAAAAACAATTAAAGTTGCGCGCCTTTAAGATGTACTACAAATATAAGTTGAACTTACTGAAGTGCAAGATTGTTTGGTTGGCAAATCGGAAATCCTGGGATTGAATCCCGTTCAGTGATATATTTCTGTTCTACTTATATAACTTTGACTTATATTCATAATAGTATGTATATCCTTAATGGTTCGTAGCTTTAATTGTTTACATCTTCAAAAATTATCGAGTGTCGATGGAAAATAAATGGTCTTTTCTTTTGTTCTATTATCCCCCTTCTCATTGCAAAATCTACAGTAGTGCTTCAATTGTTTGTGCAAAACGATAAAAATTATACTTGACGAAATCACAATGATTCATAACACTTTACACATGAATGATGATCGGGCATTTTGACAAAAAGTATATTAAGTCATTACACACGAAAATGGTCAATGTTACCGACAACCATACAATTAACGTTAACTTTAACAAATGAAAATATTACACTTGGCAATGAACTAAAGATTATCAATTCTTCTTTATCGTACTCGGGATTAACAAACAGCCTAACAGACAGATCAACAACCACGATACTCACCTGATAACTGAAGTCAGGCATAAAGAGTTTCTTCGAGGCGGACGGGAAGTTTATCTCCGCCACGTTCCAAGCGTAGTCGCGCGGAGCGAAATAAGTGAAACGCTTCGTCGTATCGTTCAGCTGCTCGTTGAAGTCGCGTCGTTGGCCCAGGAAGTAGGTGGTGCTGCAAGAGGATGAGAAACAGAGTCAATCGTTTGTTAATTCTACACGGAGAAATCGCGTTTCCCTTTACCGTGCGAAAAAAAGCTTCACGAAACAAAAGCACGATCGAGAGCTCCCCTGTACAAACGCGACGAGGATCGAACGATTCCCGACTTCATTCTCGAGAACTTATCCGTTTCAATGGAAGCCTCGCAACAATGAAAGACTAGAGATGCACGGGTTAGCTTTACCTCACCGACAATCATTTCATCGACAATGCTACTCATCGATGTCGACTTCTAGTGCGTATAATGATGTTAGTTTTATTCAACCACGGACAATATGTAATCTCCATTTTTATTTCCTCGGATACAAAAAATAATGACGCAATACCTACTTTCAGTGTCAACAACGCACCCAACATTCCACCAAACACAAGTTTAGGTATTATATCTAAAAAAAAAAAGAAAAACAGGAAAAGGGGTAAAGAAAGGGGAAAACAGGGCACATCGTGTGTGTGTCTTGTGTTTGGTGGGATGTTAGGTGCGTGGTTAACACTGGGGGACTGCGGATCATTATACGCACTAGAAGTCGACATCGATAAATAGATATAGAGTAATTTCTCTATGAGTACGACGTACTTGGATCTACTACGGAGCATTCGTGGCGAAGCGAAAAGGCTTTCAGCCCCTCATAAATTTATTTTTCGCCTGAAGCCGAGCCTCTGCTTAGCTTCCGTTTACTCTGTTTTAATTAAGACTCCCCTATTGATGGGAATAACGCTGTTACTGGTGTCGCATTCATCGAGGAATTACTGTATTCGTTCAAATGATTGTCGACGGGGTAAGGGTAATCCGAGTTGCATAGTGATCGTTGGATATGAAACGCCTAAGAGACTACCAGAAGGCCTCGATTTCGATGGTCTTCCCTTCGAGTGTGCGCGTTCGCGGATCCGTGTTTTCAATGGCTCTGTGCACCAAGATCTCGGAGACCCAGGGTAAAAGATTGGAAAGAACGGTGGGCAAACAAATCGATGATAGGGGATCCCGGTAGGGTATTCGTAAACGCACTTGTGTGACGTACAGGCATCGCCTGGCGCACGCCACCCGGAGAGATACTGGAATGGATGGGCTATGGGCCGGATGTCATGGTGTGGGGTGATGGAATGCTGACATCACCATCCATCCATCCAGTGCATCGAGTAACGATAGCTATCGTATAAAGGGACTAACGGCATCAAAGCCGACACATAACCGTTTCCTAGCCATCCACCCCCCCAGTTGGTCGTTCAATGATCCTCCCCGTCCCCCAATCGTCGACAGCAAGATGGGAACCTTGGCCACGCAACCACCCTGACGTCCGCGACATCGCCCCGTTTAGGGTAACATATTGCCCAACGATAAATGTGGATTGCACGGTATTCCACGGTGGTTCGAACCGAATTCTGAAAGGACATGGATCGTTCTGAAGTCTGCGTTGTTTCTGGGCTTTAGGATACCTTCGTGGCCCCGCTTAGGTGGCACAAACATCTCAATTGAAATTTGACGTTAGGTCCAATGGCAGTTTGTCATGCTGAACGCGTTGGTTATTTTATGGATTTTGTGCTCTTCTTTTGGTTGTCACTGCGCTTTGGGATAAGTAGGATGTGTGCTTTTGGTGGACGAATTGTTTTCAATGATTTGTAATATTGTATGTTTATATAATAATATTTTGATTTTTAACGGATTTATTTTTGAATGTATTTCTGTGTAATCTATCGAAATAAAATTTTTCAAAGCAGAAGCTTTTGGGGGTAAAGCCTGTTCGGGTAGACCTAATGGTACTTTTCAGGGAATGTTTCCGTGTACCACTGAAGAGACTGTTCATTACACATGAACGATCCAGCGAGTTTGATACCTTTCGAATGATTTTTTCCACCCTCGCATTTCATTTGGGTACGATATGATTCCCGTTGAATTTTTCATCGGTTGAAAACTGTTTTGATAAGCTTCGCGCATTAAAATGCGAATCGCGTGAATGTTTAGTTATGGAAACCGTTATTTAACGGGGTTTTATCGTCGCAGAAGTTTATTTGCCGGTTATTGGGACATCGTTTAATTGGATTTTCCATTATCGATGCGCCCGTAATTGAAATAACGTGAGGTGAATTAAATCACGACGGATCTACTGTACGATACTCCGTATCTCCACACGAATACGAGCTCTTACGAATTTGCAAAAATAATGTTACGATAATGAAGCGTATCTGGATGTGTATTAAGTGCACTTTTTTCAAAAATCACATTTTATATGTTTCCTATATCAAATAATTCACTCTCTCCGGTGGTAAAAATTATTTCGTTCTAAGTCGTCTAGTTTTTAATTTAGGTATATAATAGTCTAAAAATGGTGTTAAGTTCATATTTTTAAAACGGTGTAAAATTCATCACATAGGAGAATTAATGCAAAGTTCACCACTTCTACATATAGAGACTTAAATCCATTCAATAGTTCGAAGGTAGCAATTGTTTCCCGTTCAATTCGCACCTTTGATTTGCTGTCCTCTAATGTTTGAAAAGTGTGACTTAATACACTCTGGCTCTGGGGTCCAGATATGTATACACCTTTGAATGCCAATATCAAGGTTCTAGAATGTTTTGAGTCTGGTTTTTGATTACTAGAATCTGTTATCACAAAAATCGAAACATTTAGGTCGTTTTTGTCTGGAGCCAATTAGACTAGTCTTGAGGCTCATGATGAGGTATTTTGTTTCATTTATTCGACGTATCTATTTATTTTGCATGTCTTAAATCACGGCACATTAAGTTGAACAAAGCGACAATATCGATACGAAATCGAGAAGAACGCTGTTTGGTGCGAATTTAATAGATCGACGTGTAGCCGGTGGAGCCATCCAATTCCCGGCGTAAGATTCCCTGTTTATAGTTTCTCCGTCGGGCGGAGCACGTTCACGGTAATTGGAATGAGGATTTGTTGCGTTATTTTAATTAAATTCGCGACAGAGAAAGGGGATTGAGCCGGGCATTCGAAACAAATTTCTTTCTTTCAGACGCCTCGACAGTGAAACAAACTGGGCATTAAAAACTCGACAAATAAAACGTAATGCCCTCTCAAAACAGAATATTATTAACGAAGTATTTAAAAAGTTTTTAATTACTTCGTAAAATTCTATAAAGTCATATCGTCTCATAAGTTTTGTAGAAAGAATCATTCAAGTTATTCTCATCTTTTCTAGGTATATAAATGCAATTATATACAGAAAGTTTCCCGTAAATAGGATAAGAAGTAACTTTAGTATTTTTAAATATTTTTTCTTAGAACGAATCATGACAAAACCAACGACTCTAAATGTTACAAAAAGAAACAGAATTAACGATTGTTTCTGTGATAAACCCCCTGATATACGACCACGTTGCACAACTTCCGTAACCTGTGATTCTTTTTCTAGCATATTTACATTCATTAGATTTTTCATGTTACGTTTTAATAAAAAATATTTACAAAATGCTATAGTTACTTCTTATCCCACATAAGAAGTTTTCCACTTCGTACGCATTCTAATAAAATAATTTGAAAACTGCTGTGTAGTTTCATTTAACAAAACAAAACGTGACATCTAGATCTCCGAAAAAAATGCTGATGAAGAAACTTTGCTTTACGAAAATTATGCACAGTTAAATATAGTTCAACTGTTATCTAACAAAATTTCTCGTAAAGTTTCAGGGATGTCTTAAAATTTCGTGGCGACATTTACATAAGACACCCTGTATATTTTGTAAGAAGAATATCAATGTTTCTTTCAATTCACAGAAGTGCTTCTAAAGACGCTCGGTGGCGTCATTGGTACGATGAAACATTAAACTCATAAATAGTGCAATAGCGGCTTTACTCACTTGAGCATGGGATCAGTCCTAAGTTTATCCAACACGGTAGTGTACGGAACACCGAGAACTCTGTCGATGATATGAATGATTCCGTTTGTGGCAGCGATATTTGCGGTTACCACCGTGGCGTTCACACCGCCACCTTCAACGGTCACTGTCTGATTTCCGCTTGGCCCCTGGACCACGTTGAAGTACAGCTTCTTCCTGTCCGCCGCCGTTTGCACCTACAAGAAACCGATAAATTTTTAAGAAGAACATTAACGAGACCACGTGACACGTTTGAAAAACGCGTCACTTCTGTTCCGCACACCGAAACAGCGACAGAGTGTATACAGAAGAAAAGATTTGGTTCTTCGAATAACTCGCTTTTCAATGAAAAAAATTTTACGATTAACTTTACTTTTATAGGATGTCCAAACAAGTGATAATTAGGAGAAATTAGTATCTTAGAAAGGTAAGTCAGTTAAACTTACTGAATTGTTTATCTGTATTTTTTGATGATAGACAGATAAAAATAAATTGGTATCTTGGACCTATTGATTCGTATAAACATTTAGGTTTCAATATTCTGTTTCCTGTTTAATTGATTTTTATTCCCAGAAGAACTCGACGTTCAACATTTTGAATGCCACGTCACCTAAATATACAGCGTAACCCCAAATAATTTTATTCGAAGAACTGTTGAAAGTCAGCCTCGTGCAAACAAGACAGTCGTACATATCTAACTGCGAGTTACAATGCCAGTAAAACGAGAGAGAGAGAGAGATAAGTTAGAAGTTGTGTGCGGTCCCCTGCTCGAAACTTTCTCGTAAAGTTGTAAGAACAGGAAGGCAGGGAACGTCGCTAAACAGTTAGCAATAAGTTCCCTTCGTTATGCGCACATCTATGCGTACTTAAGGAAGCACGGCAAGAAAGGATGTTGTAATAATCATCTGCAAAGTGGATCCGCATTTTGCCTTTCTTACTTGTTGTACGCGTGAACATTCATTGATAATTGTGATATATTCTTAATAAGTTTCGAAAGTATAAATTATGCAAGATATTTGTAGGTTGCAGATATTGATAATTCTGTTGAAACTGGTCCAAGTATATTAACAAATAAACTATGTGGCATAACTATAAAAGGACCCTAAAATTTGTAATACTTATGTATTGTTTTTAAAATAAAAACTGTAATTAAGAAATCATATCAACGAAAATTACCAAAAATCTTTAACCTAGTATTAACAAGAATTTCTCTCCATTCGTAACTGTAATTCGGAAATATCGTTCGAAGCTCAAAGTTTGTTTTTTCATCGTGTGCCAACATTTTTGAAGAAAGTCTAATGAGAGCGGAAGCGACGACAAAAAAGAAGAGTCGAAGAGGGAGCGATAGCAGAGAAAAAGAGAGAGGTAAAGAGCTAGGGAAAGAGCTTAAAGGTAGTGATTCCTTTTCCGGTTGATCCCCCTCTCATGAATTTTCCGACTTGCACTCCGCACCACTTCCGGCTACTTTTCTGATCTTGAGTTGCTGCTGCATTCGTAGATAGATGCACCATCCCGGGGCCGCCGGCTTCAAAGAGCAGATCGAATAAATTCCATGAAAATCCACGCCCCTTACAAAGAATTCACCTGTAAGCCTCTTTCTCGTGGAAATCACTACCTTTGCTTTTCATTCTGCTGGATCATGTGCTCTTTACCTTTCTCATATTGCGTTTCGTTCGATCCGCCCCCCTCCCTTTACTCCTCTTTCTTCGTTATGGCACGTATTTCGTTCCCCATTACATTCTGTCTCGTTTTGTAACGATACATGCTTCTGAATTTAACGACTTCGATCGTTACCAGCTATTACATTTCAATTTCCACGAAGAAGACATAGAAATCTTTCAATCCTTTTCGCTATACGTCATTTTCGAACGATAATCACAATCCCTTCCAATCAATTAAACAAACCAAGTTCTTGTTACTTGTACTAGCAAAAAAAACATAACTGGACAACCAAAAAGCATTCTTTCCGACGAACTTTTAACACGTTGACTGCCACAGTGAAAAAGGCCGTACGTAGCCAGACACACTTTATTTCGTTTTTTAAGTCATAAATTGTCGAAAATATATGAGTTTAGTTAATAAAGGCTGTATGTCTTGTTTTAAATTATACTGTGATATTAATTTCATGCAAACATTTTATAACAGTGTTTAAATAGTCCAGACACTTTTCAATGTACGTGTCACCCATATTTCGGTGACGTGACAGTCAAAGTGTTAATTTTGGAAATTTTAATGTTATTTCGTATTATTTGTACAAACACCGAGACTACATCGATTAAGGGATCGTGAAAACTGTTTCCGAGTGTTTTCAGTGAAACATCATTTCGAATAATTGTATACTCCCTTTTTATTTTATTTTTTCAGACAGAATCAAGCACCCATTTGTCGTCAATGAATGGCGGCGGTCCCGTCAGAATTGCGTTTCGGTGACGTCGAATGAATTAATTACTAAAACGCTCGTTCGTCTCGCGGGAGGAGAAACGGAAAAAAACGAAAAACGAAGTCGCGTTATCTCGTATGGAACTGAGTGTCGTGCGCCCGCGTTACGGGACTTCGGTGTTTCTCTTCCGTGGTTGTTTTATCGTCTCATTGGGAGCCTGGGAGCAGCGCGTCATAAAGTACGGGGAGAGGCATAAAACATATCCTCGCGATAAATTCACGAGGAAGCGCACGAGCAAGCACTGCTTAATGCAAATCGGTCGACACTCGGAATAAAAACTGTCCCCGCATATTTCGGCCGGCCACTGACTCTGTCATACGTGGAGAACGATTAAAAACTGGAATAAAACTGCGCTGGACATTCTGTTTATCGGCTTATAGGACCGCACGGGTAAGTGGCGGGCATTTGCGGGCTTCTGTGAAGGCGACGCGAGGTAGGAACTTCTCGCACATTTTAATCTAAACTAGTGTATAGATTAATAATCATTTATGTTTCTTTTTATTCGAAACAGATAGAAGCAATTTGATCTTGTGAGTTTGGCGGGTGCTGAGTTGCCCATCACTGGCTTATAGCCTTGTAGGTACTTCAATAATGAATCCATTCTCCATATTTTTACCGATCAATCACTAATGGTGCCTGCAGCCATCTTTATACTTCAAATAAATTTTCTTTTCTTCTAATACAATTGAATTATAATTTAACTTTTAAAGTAAGAAGTGCAAAGGGAGTAATTCCTGATCACCTAAATCATATATCTGTCCCTCGCTATGAGCTATCGAATCTCACGTGTAAATTTCAAAGTAGTTAATAATTATTTAGTACTTTTTTGGAAAATAACCTTCATCAGGAATTGGGTCCGTGACGGTACCATTTTCAAAAATACAACGGCACAAATAAACAGAACTGAAAAAGACTTTTCGTATTCCGACCGCCATATTAGAAATAATCTTAAATCCACGCATATCGTGTTTAAAAGTGAAGGTCATTTACAATTCTTTTTACTTGCATTTCAAAAGCATGTGTAAATTCTGTTAATGTTACACTCGGTTTATTGTATTTTCATTGGTCCAACATGCTCGCATGGAATTTCATTCTCTAAACAATCATTAGCACATCGCCACCCGACGACGTTACTTCCGATTAGAACAATTTACTCATTGTTTACAGCGATTAATAGTCGCGTCCCGAATGGCAAATGAAGGTGGCCGAGTCAATATTAGAACGAGCGTGCGTACACGATGCTGTTAATAAACATTCCGCACATTACCGGTCAATGTTGTTTAATAACCGGCAATTAGCATGGCCGATTTTAGTGCGTCCAGCTTTTATCATAATCCATTCGTAAATTAATTCATGCTTCTGGTTCTGCAGAGCTCTGCTTCTTCGTTTATCCACCGATAGCCGAATCTGCGATTCTAATTTCGTTAAACACATTAGTGTCGGACGAAATTAACAGAACGAGATTTGTGCGCGCTCAAGCATCGACGATTCAACGTTGGGAATTTTAATCAAGACACCCTGGTGTCTAGTGCAGAGGGAAATGAATGTTATCTGATTATTCATTGAACTAGTTTCTGATAATGAAAAACACGGTATGTCCGAAAGATAACAGGATTGACAATGTATTAATACAAACACTGATCATATTTCGAAATATCGTTCATTTTATTCAATGTATGTTCTTGCGGTATTAATATAACGCTTGGATACGGTCAACCAATTTATGGATAGATTTCTGAAGATCTATTTCCGGAACATTTTGTCTTCCCTTTTGTGGGTGAAGTTGTACTACAAATAGATTAAGCAGAATTGTGCACAATGAAGGACAACGAATAATTAAAACTAGCTACTAATTAGAAAGAATCAACATAACATTATATCTTTTCATCAGTAGGTACTCAACAGAATATAAATTCTTTTTTTATAATTAGTACAACATAAGATTATCTTCTTAGTGCGATTAATTAATAATCATAATAATTATCACTATTTGTTATCATAGCGTTATCATACATTGAATAAAATGAACCATTTTGAGAAATATTATCAGTAGACTGCTGATTTCATGCACTTATCGTAAATTATAAATGTGTGAAACACAATACAGTAAAACATTTCTTGAAGATTAGTATGAATTACTTTACTTTGGACCCATAAAAGTCTTGAGTAAGCACGACAACGTCGAATATCTGAATAGGTACTGTATGCGTGACTAAACCTTTGCATTATGCGATTAAACTTATAAGCGGTAATTTACACTTTCGTCTATTCGGTCGAATTAAGATAGCATAGATAGCACACGATGCCTAATTTGAAAATAATTTTGTAATTCAATAGCCAAAAAGACATAGAATCCATAAATATTTAAACAAACTGTTAATTCTCTAGATTTCTATTTATACGAATGAAGTTTATTATTAGAGAAATGATTGTTCCATTATCCAAAAATTCTTTTGTCCAAACACTTACCTCTCCTTATTATTAGTTCAGACACGGAAGGGTCTATCGTATTCAACAAAATTTTCACATTCGCCTCAATCGATCGTTGTTAACATTAGTATTCACGGAATTACTACGATTGCTCCGCGTCACGTTAACCATCCGGACAAATTGTACGATATTTTGCTGATCGTTAGTCGGTTGTCTGGCGTCGATTGGACGCATAATGAGAGCCGGACCTTTATCACGCGAGTTTACTCCATTTTATACGTGCACGATAGGATGTTAATTTATTAACGGCCGGGGCGTATAATTAAAGGCAGCGTTCCGTATCAACGTGCCCAGTGATTGAAGCACGGGTATTGAAGTAATTAGCTGTATCGGTGATTTCGCGTAATTGCATTCGCAGGTCAAAATCGATGGTAGTTGGCCGGACTCCCGAGATATGTACACCGATGCCACGGTAGAATCTGTAACTCATCGGATTGTACTGCTAAGCGTTCCATTGTGCCGTGTATTTGTGAGTTTCGATATAATTTTTAAAACCACCCACGTCGACCATAATATACAAGGTGTATTAAAGTCAAACGCTGAAACTTTACTAGTAATACACTGTGTATATGAGCAGAAAGAATTAAGAAAGGAAGTTTTATACCAATACAACCGGAAGCTCAAAGTTTCGGTTCGAATAGGGTAAAAGACCCAAATACTGACACTGACATTATTGCATAATTTTTGTATTAGTTGACCAGAAACATAAGATTTTAGTTGTATTTATTATTATTTAATATGTTTCAACGAAGAAAAAATTTGTTGTAACTTTCTCAACCTCTACTTTTGTTTATAACTTCATTAGTTTAAGAAATATATTTCGAAAGCTATTAAACGTAAAAAGTGTTCGAATGAATTGTTGACATCCTAATTACTATCACTTATTCAAATACTGTTACCTCATATTACCTAAATACTAGACTACAAACTATGTTAAAAAATGTTTTCCAAAGGACCGTTACGGTAAACAGGCTTATTACAGAAGTTTATATCTGGTGCCACTTTTTCAGCCTTTTCTTACGCGATTATTTTTTACTTTAGCGCGGCGTGATTAAAGGATCGCGTGTGTATTTCATGCACGAAACAAAAGGGAATTACATTTCGAATCGTATTTTTCGCGGGTGTTCCCCGTCGTTTATTATGCCGGCAAAACTGCGATTTTTCACCGGCGGATTTGCAAAACGCTTCTGTATCACCCTATAAATTTGTCGTGTAAACGCGCGTGTAAACATGCTTGCAAATTCACGAACAATACCGAACCGGGGGGAGAGGGATAAACTTGTTTTTGAAAATTTATCCAAAGGACGGGTCACTGGGGAATTTATAAATTTACGCGGGAATTATTCTTTTATGCGGACGATCGTGAATGGTGCCGTTTCGACTTTCCATTTCCTTTTTACTGCGGTCCGATATATACATTTTTCCGTGTGCCGGTTGCGAGGTGGTAATTCAATGGTTTAGAACGTGAGATACTTTAATTAAATATCGCATCGCCGTACCATTCGTGAGTGCATTCGACCTGTTCATGCACAACTGTGTTACGGAAGGTAAGTCATTTAAATCGACCCCGCGAATAATTTCGAAACCGTCGATGATACTAAAAAATGTTACAGATAAAAGATTCATGGTTTCGACGAGGAAATAATTTAATGTGAGTAGTATTTTCGTACATGGGCGCGTACACGACATATTAAGGTGAAATTTGTTTTTTGAAATGGGATTACATATTTTTTAATGTATTAATTAGTACGTCACTCCCTATGAAAAATTGTAGAGTCATATATGTAAAAAAATTATTAATTTAGGAGATATTTTAATTTCTATACTGCGGAGTGGTATTCAATTTCAGTTCCAATATGGCGGACGCATACGAAAATCAAACGAATGTCACATTAATTGTGCGTTATATATTAACGAGTTCGAAATTTGGGGGAAGCGGCGTTAAATGAAAATGAACCCTCCCTGCTCAGAGCCGATAAGGAGACTGGGTTCCTTAGATTAAGTGGATTGGAAGTTAAAAGTTCGCCGAAAGACGCCTAACGTCATAACAACGTGGGCTACTTCGACTCTCCTCAAAACTTTCATGAAAGTCGACCGGGGACGTTGGTTCTCGTTCCCCGGCTGTTCCTACGGAGCTCATTATCATCCAATAAGCATGATAAAACTTTTCGGTCGAATAACAAAACGCCTCCTGTTATTTTACCGCGATTCGCGTACTAGAACCGCTGATGGAATCGATTCCAAAATGTATTCAACAGTATCCGCATTTACCTCGTATATCTGTTTTCAAAATTTTCCCTGAAATTATACTAATAATACTAAACTTTGAATAAAATATCTATATGATAGATCGAAGAAATATTAGGAGAAAAAGTTTAGAATTACGCGTAGAAATGTGTTTTATCTGTTTTCAATATTACACAAATACACGAGGAAGATTATTAATATGTTCACATATTGACTTAAATAATTCTTGTTCTGTCTATACAGGGTGTCCCAAACTATGTGTAAGTCCTTGAAAGAGGCGATTACTGGGATGATTTGACACAACTTTTTCCTTAGTGAATCACCCCTTGCAAGGAAATGCACTTATTTTGGGACACCCTGTAGTAGTAACTTCTTTCATAATCTGTGAAACGACACTATGAAACTTTTTCTACTCTCCGTGGTGGCCATTTGAGACACTGCCTATAACAAGAGACTATGAATAGCTATGAACAATTTGAATATGTTGGTAATAATATATTTTCGAAAATATTTTCTTGACACCTTTTTATCACTCTATGGGGTAAAATGCCCAAAGTTCGATGTTTTTTCTTGTGAACATTTTTCCAGGTGTTTACAAGGTACAACTTCCACTCAAGTTCATTTTCAGTTTGGATTTGATATCCAGTGACTTGCTGTAGCTTGTCAGTAATTTCTATTGTACAATCATCTTCGCATAATTCTCCTAGTTTGTAACCTCGCACAAAGATATATAAACGACACTCAAATTTTCACGAGCACAGCGAACTCAAGCGTTTAGTCAGCTTGTAAAGTGCAAGTAGTATTAGCAGTATAAGCGTAATAAGCGTAAGAAGATTCGTAAATAAGATTCCGTACTTTTCGTAAATAATTAGCGTAAATAAGATTCCAAACTTACAAAGTAACATATAGTTAATGATCGGCACACGTACGATAACGCTTAAGAGCAGAAGAGCAACTTTCGTTTCGATTTTCGTTGAAAGTCATTAATATGCAGCCCGCTAGAACGTACGAACGGAAAAATACACCAAACAACAATATCTCGGATTATAGGCCCAACAACGAGGAAATATAAATCAGGCGAATGCGGACAGAACTTGAAGATGCAGAAAAATATCCACGAACGGAAACACTGAAAGCTGTATAAATCTGTAATTACCCCATCGTGTTGCTTCCCGATCAATGGTTTCATTAAACAAAAAAGAGAAAAATAGAGAGACACTGAGTTAATCAAGTTCGAAACAACTGGTTTCCTTTCAGTGTATTTTACTGTGCTGTCACGAGAAAAAACCACATCGTCGAATGTCTGCAGTGCGGAAAACAACGAAATCTTGGCACGAAAACTGTTTGGATCGGAGAGAGGTGAATAAGCGATGATGGGTTTCCACCACTCTCTTGAGAGAATGACGGCTCGAATCGCTTCACACATTTATAAAGACAAAGTAAATTTTCACTAAATAGATACCTACAGATTCATAATCTTTCGAAATCATTTAGGTTTTCAAGAGCATTCGGTCTTTTAATACTTACAAGATCTCTAAGACTGTGAATAATTCAAAACGACTAAGATTCACAAAAATCTAGAAAATTCGATAATATTAAAAATTAGACAAACTTAGAACTACTATCAGTGAATAAGTCTTCGAAACCTTTTAAAAAAGAACAGTTTCTTAAAAATTGAACCAAGTAACCTGAGTTTTTTCTGAAGTTAGAAGGATTAAATGATGTGTCAAAAATTTGTTGAAAAAGTTGTGAATAGTCGGAAAAAAGGTCACTTTGTACAACTTTTTTATCTGACTGTAATGAAAATTTAATAAATACATTTCGATGATTTATGTCAGTTATACACATGCTGAAGCTTTTATTGAAATAGGTCGATACAGAAACGAGCGACAGAAAGATGTAAGAATCGTAAGATTTACAACAGTTGTATGTAAAAAGACCCGAAAAACTGAGATTTTCATTTTTTACCGTGTGTATCACATACTAACGTTAACTAATTTCGATGAAATTTTCAACATGCATATAACTAAAATAAATCTAACAAATATATTTTTTAAATTTTCATTACAGTCACTATTTTCTTCGCCATTTCCACGAATCACAACTTTTTCCAAGTTTCCATTACACATAATTTAGTAAACTAATTTCTTCTAATTTCACAAACAAACTCAAGTCACTTGGCCCAATTTTAAAATGTCGAAACCAATATATAATTTTTTAGACAATCAGGAACTTGTGTTGTTTCAACAATATTAACTCTTATTCTCCAGCACGCTCTATCATTTTTAAAAATGGAAAAGCTAAGAAGTTTTAAACAGAAATTTTAAACAGATCACTAAGATCCATAGATTCTAAAGACATCTGTATTTTGTAGTAATGTGTTTTTCTGAGGATATCTGCATTGACATTCTTTCCTTTTTTTTTAAGATTCTTGAGAATATCTGTATTGAGCAAATATCTGAAGCGATTCGAGCTTTTCGTGTATGCTCGACACGATTCGGAGGGTCTTCAAACTGTCACAATGAATAAATACACGTGGAAAATCGACTCACCTGGCTGACGGTCCTGTCCTTTAGCTTGTCGAGTGGCAAACGTTCCTTGACATAATGGAGGTTCAAGATCTCCTTGACGCGTTGCTTGTCTTGGAGGATCTGCTGCACACCAGGTTCCTCGAGGGCCGCGTTGCTCGGCGCGAACAGCGTAACCTCGCGCAGGTGACTTATGGTGGTCATGATCTCCTCGCCGAAATCACGGATCGTCTCGTAAAACTTGTACACCGGCCCGTCCTCCTTTTCCTGAATGTACAGAAGAGATTTCTGTTTATCGAGCTCGGGGGCGCAGCGCGAACTGATTTCTACGTGGGATCGTTAATAAAACGAAAATGAAAGAAAGAAATGATAAATGATCGTAACGAAAGAGGAACGAAAGAAGATGGATAATCACGGGTTCTTATTGCGAAATTTGCGAAGCTCTTTGAAATAATTTCGTTGATTATTCCGTAAATGTGTATATATAAATTAGATTTAACGAGACATTTACTTTTTGTTTTTCATTATTTTCAGGAATGAACTTCGCATATTTTGCTGTTGCGCGAGGATGACAAATAAAATGCTCACAAGGAATTCAGGAGGTGGTCAAATTGAAAACACAAAAAGCTTCAAGCTTTGAACACTTAACTCGCGGTCCTCGATATAAAGGAAAAATTCGGAATACAAGGATATAGTTGTGGTAGTTCATCGAAATCACCGTCGATGATCGTTCCGAGATACGAGGTACTTTTTTCTGATATAGATCGATATTCAATGTGAACTGTAATGAACGTTGTACAGAGTGATTCGCGCGATTGGGACTGGCTTCGTCTTTTTTTTGACGTGATGTTGGATGCTAATAGTGGGAAGCTTGACGGAGTTAATGCATATTTGCAAATGTATAATATCTATAGTCGGAATAATCGTATAATAAATTGAATATTGCTATAATGTATAGGCACTTCTACACTATCAAATTATAGGAGTTTTCATTACCACAATAATTTACCAAGCATTTTGAAACTTTCGAAGTTACTTTTATGGTATATAATCTCAGGTTAACACTAGAATAATCAAGTCCGTCAAAGAACGGATTCCAAATGTCTCTAATGTCTGTGCTTTTGTTGGAATTTATGTTGACATTTACTACATTATACATTTCACATAACACTATATTGTATGATATATTATACATATCAATGTATTATGCAATTTAATTTAGCATACACTCAACGCTGGCAATACTAGCGGTAAACCACGTGATCCGAAGCTGCGTAGCATAAATAATTCCATCCAGAAAGATTGAATAAGATTCCCGGATATAAATTGTTTGATATTTCTAAAGTGTATTTTGCTTCATACAATTAATTATTCTAAATGTATATCTCTTCGAACAATTGTCTTGGCAATCGGTTCTTCTCCCGTCAATATGTCCTAAATCTTGAAGTCACATACCAGTTTTATCATTATTAAGCAAATGAAAATGTTTTTTCCAGAGTTGACCAGTATAACTTGAGAATTACAATATGTCTGCTCATTTTCAAACGTACTACTGTCGAACGTGACCATAAAGTCAAAACTTTATTTTGAAAAGAACTAGAAACTTCAAAATTAAACATTTAAGGGTAAACGTTACGTTTAGGGAGTGCAGCTCCGATGACCTTGACCTTGACATATGTTACCAAGGACACCCTCTTGAGTTATCTTCAAAAAGTTTCAGTTATCAAACGTTTATTATAAAATTATTAACAGAAAATGATACATTGGTCTTGAATTGTCTCTGACAAACTCTGAATGACTTTTTTTTCTTGGAATTTCTCTAACCAACTATGAAGCATTATACTGATCGGAGTTGGTTGGAGTAACTCGTTGAAATACCTGGTATATGTTGCAAACTTATTTTCCCAATAACTTTTTAATAAAAAAAACGTGCAACGTCTAAAACTTCTTGGAGATTACATAGAAGAGTGCCCTTAACAACATATGTCAAGGTCAAGATCAAGGTCATCAAAGCTGCAACCCCTTACTTTCACAAATTTAATTTCCACGTGTTTAATCAGCCAGTACTAAGGAATCCATACAGATAAAACATTTTTTGTACGATACAAATGAACTTGAATTATAGAGAGTTAATCCATGGAGAACAATTATCTCAGGACCAAAACTTCCTTTTATCAAATGAACCATTTACAAAATTGCTCAAGGATCTTTTTCACCATACTTAAACCAACGAAAATTTCCTCCATCACGTCCATGAAAGAGTTACAGCCCAACCGATTCACGTGAATCACCCTGTACAGTCGACGAGGCCACAGTTTACGTTCGCGAGCCGTCTCTAGATCGCGATCAAACGGATCCAGGAAAAGCCGTGGCACATACGCGAGTGATCGTGGCCTCGAGACGTTACTTCACGTCACATACGGGAGAACTCGTAGATCAAAGTCCCGCTAATTAACAGCCAATCCAGAGATACGGAACGGAAACGAACGTTGTTGACTCTGGACGTCACGAAGTATCCTGCCGTCTCGGAATCGCGCATCTTTATACGCGTGGTCGCCTAATTTTCATGGGAAAAATCCTCGAGAAAACGCGTATTAAACTAGCATTGAGAACGTTCGATCGGATTAAAGATCGATGAGGGTGATTAACGAGCCGGTAATTAGCTGCTGATTAGACGCTCGATTTATCGTTCGCCCCTCGTCCCTCAGCGCTCATCGACCGGATTTAACGACTGAGAACAGAGAAAATAAGAAACACAGAGCCAGGAGACGGATTGAGGCGCGAGTTGTGGCTCCACTTTTTCCGTTTCCCGAACGAATCGTTCCATCGTTTCCTATTTTTCCCTTACGGTGGCATTGAACACTCTTATTGGTTGATTCTTTGATACTGATAGAGTAGATGAAATTATTAATCGATATGGCTAATTGTACATTTTTCGAACAAAGATTGTAAATAAATTATTCTTTAGAGTTATTACGTCGATGTGCGAGCAATGAATTCTGACAGGTGAGCTAGTAATGAAGCGTTACTGTAGATATCTGTCCTCTCTATGGATATCTTTTTATGCGCCATTGTTGCATGAAACTTGGCGATCGGGAGATCGTTGTTAGATTCTCTGATTTTACTTGACAGCCCTGACCTTCAGCTTCTGAAGAAATTTCACATATTCAGTTCTTTAATAAGACCATAAGAACAGTTTTAAATTTGAAGATTGCACGATTGTTCAAATGTGAACACTTCAAGGGTGAAATATAGAATGGTGTTGCAATATATAATATTATTATATATTAACATTATGTAATATATGTAAATATAAAATGGTGGTTACATTAAAATTCGAAGATTGGAATATTATACAAAATAATTCTACCAACTTCTCCGATTTTTTGAAACTACTATTATTCTACTTCCACTAATTTTCCATTAGCATAAAATGCAGAATTACTTTAATAGTTTACTGACAATACCTATATTATTGTTTTCGTAATTCCGTCTTACATGGAACGATTCGTTTGCTCAACCAACGCCACTTCCAGTCATCTTCTCGTTAATCTGCCTTCCGTGAGTTCGTCGGTTCATCGACGGACCGGAAGTGGCGAAAGGAGGAAGGGTAGGATTAAACGGACATTCGCGTCGTTACGGAGAAACAATATTGACACTTAGAAGGATATAACAGGAGGGAAGCTACCCCGGTTTGCTCGACGATGGACAAGAATCGTAGGGTAAAAAATGTCATCGAACTAACCAACACAGAGAAGCGGCGAGTGGGAATTTCTAATAAACGTATACTGGCCTACTACTAAGGTATTATCTGCCGCGGAAATAAACGAACGAGAGAACCCTATTACAAACAACGTCGAGCCTTGATTGAAAAGGTTAAATGGGCAGAAACCGTGGGAGAAGGGGTGGGGAGGAAATTAAAAAAACAGACTGCTCGAATTGAAAACGTCTCCAATCACCGGAAGGACCCTCGTTCTGTTTGCCACAAGGCTGTTCCGTTAATGAAGCCAAAAAGAGTTTAATTAGAAACGTCGATCACGGCGACGTATTTATGAACCTTAACGGCGTTGCATAAAACGACTTTACGATTTTGTTTAATTATCTCGTGGATCGATTCAAGTAGAGCATAGACTGACAGCAAATCTTGTATCTATTATCCAAGTTAGTCTATTATTCAAACGCTCCATTCATTGAGATTTTACCTGAAGTTTTCAAGTCTGAGTCGAAGAATTTCCATCGTAATTATTTCAAGATTTTCCTTGTAACAATCACGTTTGCTGTTCGAATCTTTTTGGCTTTAACGTTATTCCTTACCCTTCGCTCAACCAAAAACTGTGAGCCACTCGGATCGAGCAGAACGAAACGTCCTTCCCTATGCTTGTTTGCTCTTAGACGATCAACGTCGCAATTACATCTAAAGAAATTAAATCTAGAAAGTCAGATGCAGTAAGTACAGTCGGTTCACAAGAAACGCGCCAACGGAAGAAAAAAGTCCCCCCGTTTCCTGGGACAACGATTGGGAACCTTTGTCTATCGATCTTCCATTAGATTGCACCGAACTATTCGCGCGTTTCATCGAAGTAAAATCTTATATTTTCTGTTCGTGAATGATCACGATCGTCCACGTGGATGAACAAAGAGTGTCCCCGACTGTTCTTACGGGCTCCACTACCTTCTGCACGTTCTCTAGAGAAACCAACAGAAGCTTGGACACACGACTAAACAAAACGAACCGGCCGATCTAGAATCGCCCATTCGACTGTCGCAACGCAGCGGAGACACGCGTTACTTTGTCCGTAAAAAGGTTTTTTTTTTTTTTTTTTTTTTTTTTTGGTTGAGTGTCGTGTGTATTCTCTGATGAGTTCATTTAATTAAGTACTTACGATGCCCTATACGACATGCAGAGTCCAATAGAGACATGCAAAGCACCACAGAATAACATCATTGAGTCAATATAAGAGTAATAAACACATGTACACAATTGATAGAAAATTTTTTCGTTCGGCAATTGGGCTCGAGAGGAAAAGGGACTCGCGAAGATTTTGCTCTATTTTTTTTTTCTTTACTTTGCTCGTTCTTCGAGCGAATTCTATCTACCTTGTGTTCCTTGTTTTCAGAGAACGCCGCCAACCGGCACAATTGATATCGTTGTTGTCTCATTGGGAGCTGGTTTCAATAAAAATATGTTCGAAGCAACGCGTTCGAGCCAGGTTCAGTGCAATGGTTTGAGTAATATCGACTTTGTGATACAGTATTCCCTCTTTGTA